ATCATATCCACACTCTTGCTTATACACAATACTATCATTTTATTTCAAATTCATAACTCTGATTTCATTCATCTTATAAACGTATCACTGATGCACTTATTCTTGAACTCTTATACAAATTCTCACCACATCATTTGCTCTTTTAAACATTCTCATGGTGACATTTGTCTACCATACTCTAGCTTGCCAACGTAGTAACGAAACTACTCAATTTAACTTCTCTACTTTGAAGAAATAAAAACCTTCAAACATTATCTTCATATCATTTAACCAAATGTTTATAACAATAGAACTTTACTCAAATTCACCCTTGAACTCGGGTGTTCTTAACTCTTTTAACTATTTCGATACATTCATTCTATGAGTTAAAGAAGTATAATATTGAAAACACATCAGAACATCATTCAACATCATGAAACATTCTCTAATCCTATACAGACACTCTCTGAGGTGTTCGCTCTTCTCCCTGCCTGGCCAGGGCAGGTGAATTGTTATTACCTTCAGTCTATCGCCTTGTGCTTCACTTTGGAAGCTCTCATGATCATACATTTAATATAACATAACAATTTAACTCTATTAACAAGACATACACTCCTTACACTATCAGATCAGAAAATTTTTCACTTGGTGTTGGCATGTATATTTTTTTAAAACACTTTTAACTTCGTTTTAAGCCTAGAATCGGCTAAACCTGGTTCTGATACCATTAAATGTAATACCCCCAACTCGTACCTGTCCCGGATACGAGTTCGAGATGTCACATTGACTTTTTAAAATAATATTCATATAAAATAATAAAATATTTGGACTTATATTAAGAAAATAAGATCATATACTTGTTAAATTTTGTTTAATTATAACAAATTTAAAGAAAAACGTTTTTTTATGAATAGTACTATACCGTATGAATAGTAATATACTATATGAATAATACTATATTGTATAAACAGTACCGTGAACAGTGCTACATTATATCGATGCACTGCTACAGTGTACCGATGTACAAAAACATCGAATATAAATTGTGTATCGATGCACTGCTACAGTGTACCGATGCACTGCTACAGTAACTTCAGCTCAACTTATATAAAACTCATAAAAATTTAAACTTTCATCAGTATAAAATTATCATTTACATATATACGTTTAAAACATTACAAAACTGATTAGAACCTATCGGATTCAAACCTTAATTTACATGCCAACCATAATTAGTATTACAAAATACAGACTATTCATTTCTTTTCTGATCTGATCTTTGGAAATGAGAAACTGACATGTCTTGCATAACTTTTATTAATCTTCCTCTTCTCGGAACCTACGTGTGAAATAATCACCCGCTAAGTCGTTGACTTAGTGAGGCATATAAAACATATAATAGAAAACATAAAACATTTCACATAACAAAATGCATACATGTACATATACCATAATTATCAACATCATTATCATTAACTCATTTATCATATGATCTTATACTTATCATTTATGTGTATCATATAACATATATATAATTTCACAAAGAAACACATATAACATCATATAATTCCTGTGAAACATTTCATATCACCAAAAGCATATACATAACATATATTGTATTTATTATTATCTCTTTATTGGCCCATGGTACACTTATGAGAACTAAAGATATGTGAGTGCATTGAGGTTGTGCACTTATGTTATCACCACAGCTCGTATGCGGTCCCACTAAGGGCATGTGAAATTTATCCCGAATGACCTATGTATTTCTCTCGAAGGACCTCTGTATATTGTATATGTCCCGAAGGACAGCGTAGACCCTCGACTCTTGGCATGCCAACTATACCTATAACTCTCGTATCATATAACATGGCCATTTTTTCGTATGCTTCATATATTCATGTACTCATATCATTTCTTCTATCACATATCACATGTGCATATGATCATCCATTTCATATCATATAACATATGTCCTTTGAATACGTTCTCATATCATCTATCATATAGCTTATATTATTTCTCATGTGTTCATGTAAACACGTATGTCATATCTTATTCACATATGTTCGTATATACATCATATAGCACATAAAATAACATATAAACTTATACATGTATTCATGTATATACTTTCATATATTCATGTAATTCAAAATCACATATAATAACATATGACACATATAATCATTTTCATGTACTCATGCACACATAAAAATCACAAGTCAAATAACATTATATGAGTCACTTCTTACCATAGTAACTCCGTCACTGGCTCATCGCAAGCTAATGTTTGTTCGATAACATAAGTACAAATTAAACTGCACTCACCTTGACACTTTATATATCCAAATCCATTTCTATGATTTATCCCTTTGGATTGATCCTAACTTTGCAGTCGTTTTATAACTTGTTTGTGCTCGATATCTACACAATCATACATTTTCCGAGACAATTATCAGAAACCTAAACCTTATAACTTGGTATTAATAACTTAGGATAATTTAATAAACCAAACTTCAACTTTTCATTTAGGAGTGTACCGATGCACATGTCAATAATAAACTGGTTTCACCCGAAAATTCCACAGCTTTTCATTAAATTTCTCCCCTTTCATGTTCTTAACTTACATATACATGCTTAAACTCATTTATATCCATTTATCTCCTCTTTAACCTTAATATCCTCTCATCTTTATGAACTTCAAGAATCATACCCAATTTTTAACATGTTTTAAATTCAATTATACTCCATATTCCTTAATTAGGTTGTTGACAAGTCAAATTTAGTTTCAAATTCAACTTATCAACTATTTTCCAAAAATTCACTTAAAAACCATTCTCTTTAATATTTCATAACTTCTTAATCTTTTGATTTTAGGATAACTTAAGTTTTCCTTAAGCTTAAATATCACTTAATGATCAAAACCCAACTTAAATTTTAGCTAATAATCAACAACAAAGAAATCTCACCTTTTCCTTGAGCTTTCACGTGGATGAGGAAGAAAAGGAGAAAAGTTTCCAGATAACTCTCCCCACATGCTTATCTCTTAATAAAGAGATAAATATCTTTTATATGAAAAGACCATCTTACCCTTCATACTTTCATTCCTCATAATTTAATCCAATATTAAAATATATCACTTTAAATCTATGAACTTTTCAATAAATTCTACTTTAAATCACTGACTTTTGAACTTTTACAATTTAGTCATTAACTCATAGTTTGGGATGTTACACATCATGAATAAATTCAAGACCTGTAGAAGGTCAAACTTTATCTCATACTAGTCCTGCTCCATATGCCCAAAGTCATATTGTTCCCTCATCTGAGCATGTTGATGACATAATGATGTTGCCACTGAACCAACTTCAGTTTATCAGGCTTTTCAATCGACAAATGGAAACAAGTTGTACTTGATGAGTATAATGCGTTGGTTCGAAACAAAACTTGGACGCTTGAACCATTGTCCTCTGGTCGATCTGTTGTGGGTTGTAAATGTTATTCATAACTTAGCGAAACACATAGGGGACAGTAGCTCATCACAAGGCTAGATTTTGATAACACTTTCAGTACAGTGGTCAAAGCTTCTACACTCAGAGAAAGAAGAATGCGGCAAAAAAATATTGAAAGAAAATTATAATTTATTACTAATGTATATATAAATTTCATTAAAAATTAAAAATTAAATTATATATAAAAATAAAAAAATGTTAATGAAATTTGAATTAATATGGTTATTATTATTATTATTATTATTACGTACTGTTATTATAAAAGAAATCATATATTCAATCGGTACAATATTAATAACTTTAATATTTATAATATTTTAAAAATGATTCAAATTTTATATAAAATTTTATATATTATTAATTTATACTATATTAGTTTTAAATTATATTTTTAAAATCAAAAGAATAACATTATAAAATTGATTATCAAACACCATTACAAGTAGGTTGAGATATGAATAGTATTTTGTTTAGACAAATACTAACAATATGATAAGAGTATTGAATTTATTGAATTATATTTAAATTGAGAGTATTTTTGTAGAATATATAAATATTAAAAACCAAATATGTAATTATATCATTAATTTTAACTTTTACGTCAGCTTTCTCATTACATATTAGGGTAAATTATAAATTTAGTACTTAAATTATCATTTTTATCGATTTAATACTTATTTTTTAATATTTTCAAAATTATGTTTAACGTTTAGTTTTTGTTTATTTTAGTACTGTACCATTGAAAACTTAATGGAAATGCTACACCTTAACACTTTTTATGGGTAAATTACATCATTCATTATTCAATTATCTTCTCACTCCTATTTTGGTAATTGAAGTCTAATTTTTTAATTTAATTACTTAACTTTTAAACTACTCATAATTTAATCATTCTAACTTTAAAAAATAATTTTTTATTTTAATTATATATTAATAAAATAATAAAAAATATCATGTCACAAATATTATTAATAAAATAAATTAAAACATGAGCAATTTGAAAGTTGAGTAACTAAATTGAAATTTTTTGAATTTTAATGACCAAAATAAGAGTGAGAAGATAATTAAGTATGAATGAAGTAATTTACTCATAAAAATGTCATGTGCAAAAGTTTCATAAAATTTTTAACTGCAGTAACTAAAATGAAATAAAAACTAAACATAAGGCATAATTTAAAAAATTGAAAGTTTCAGTAGTAAAAAAATAAAAACTAATAGTTTAGTTACTAAATATGTAATTTACCCTAAAAAACCAACACTGATGGCTTAATTTGCACTATTTATATAGTTTAGTGATTTAATCAATGAAATTAAAATACTTATGATTAAAACTAATAGTTTTGATTCAAAAAATATAGTTTACCCTAAAAGCTAACACGGATGGCTTAATTTGCATCATTTATATAGTTTAATGGTTTAATCGATAAATTAAAAGATTTATGATCGAATTGAAATCTACTCATAGTTAAGCAGTGATTGGCGTAGTTCACCCATGATTTTAATTCGTTGGTTGAAGTGCTGCTGATATTATAAACGGTTAAAAGAAAGGAAGGCTTCAACCCCTCTCAAAAGAAGGTTTCACGGAGGGCGGTGTCCGGTTGAAATTTTTGTAATTTTTTATTAATATGCAGAAGAAGGTTTTGAGAAGCGAAAATTTCTGAATTTGTTCGTGGACACGGCTCTCTAATCCCTAACCTCTATCGTTTATCAACCTCGGTGGTCAGTTTTCGATATTCATCCCTCTTTCTTTTGAATCAAGACCTGGATTCCACTTTGGCTAGCTGGAATCGGGAAAACTTTGTTTTTTTTTTTGTTTGTTTTTTTCTATTAGTATTAGCTTACCTCAAATTGCATCTGGTTTTGTTCTCAGATTCACTCCAGGAAAAGGGCTTGAGATTCGAGTTTGTTCTCTCGGGACTCGCTGATTTACCAGATCCGAGTTCGCCAAGTCTCAGTTTTGGGTACACTAAACATTGAATCTTAAAGTCAGTTTCAGAGTTGAATTTTCATTCTTAAAAATTGGGGTTTTCTTTAACTTCGAAGAAGTCCAGCTGGGCAACCGTTGGTTTGCTAATCCTTTCAATTTTCTGAGAATTGGGGTTTTGAAAAAATAAGCTTTTGACGAACTAGTTCCTTTTTAGTGTTCGATGCTTGGGTATAAGGAATTTAGTATACTCTGAGGAATTAGTTTGAATTGTTTGGGTTTTTGTTGATCTGATAGAATTTGGAATTTGAAAGGGATTCAATTGTAGTCATGTTCTATGGTGCGGTGGTATGGGACCCTTGGTTTATTGTAGGCCAAATTGTTTGCCTTCAATGTTTATACTACCTCACACTTGGGGTTTTCTTGTCATTTCTTGTTGGTACTCGCGTTTCTCATATGAGTTTGGTCTATTTCTTTGACTTTGCCACTGTTACTACCTCTACCGTTACCGGCTGGTGCGTTATTGTTTCCTTTCTGCTCAGCTCTGTTGCAGGGTGAGAATATAGTTTCAATCTAGTCTTTTAATTATGATGCTTCACTTATATCTTTCTTTGCATCTGCTAGCTTTCATCTTTGAATACATTTGTATAACAAATGGTAGGCTTCAATCTACTTCTTTTCGTATTATAACTTATTAAATTTGCTCTTGAATAGAATACCTATTTTGGTTTGATAGTGTAAAAGTTGTGCACAATCAGGTTTATCTTATTTATTCAAAAAATCAGCATATGTGCTAGCTTTGTTTCTCCTACTTTATAGCTCCTTTGGCTTATGATAAACTGCAAAGTCTCTATTTCTCTTGTTTCTGCCTTGCTTCTATGTTTTGGAACTGGCTTGGATCAATGTTCGGATTATGATGTACAGTCATGGTGTTTGTCTGTGTTTTTATTATAAAGCTCTGCACATGAATTTTAAAATTGAATGTAATAGTATTGAATCTTGAATTAATTTAGGATATTAATATCTAAGCTTGAAAAGTTAGTACCTACCTGTCCAATTTATTGCATCTTTTATTGTTTATTTTTCTGATACTGTTGGTTTTCTATATGAGGGAGGTACGCTTGCAAGTTAAATAAATCCAGGGCTAGATAATGCTTCTGTGAAGAACTTCTAACATCGGTTGTATTTAAATGCTCATGTATATTTAGAAATTGAAGAAATGTATATAAGAAGTTTAGAGATGATAATGGTACATGGCGAATTGAGCTTATTTTAAATTTTGTTTTGTTTGGATATTTGCAGAGCTGGGTACATGCCTTATTTGATTGAAAGGGCAAAGAAATGCTTAGACTTTTCAGCCACACTCTATATTATACATCTTTTTATATGTACCATGTATGGAGGTTGGCCTTCCTCAATAACATGGTGGGCTGTGAATGTTACTGGAGTTGCAGTGATGGCTTTGCTAGGTGAATATTTATGCATTAGACGGGAACTGAGAGAAATTCCCATTACACGACTTCGATCAAGTAAGAAATAATTCCTATATATGTTAAAAGTGACCTTTTAAGATAATTGTAATATGATTTTTTTACAATTGTAATATGATTTTTTTACCTTTATTAATCTGTTGCCTGTCCTTTTCTTTTGGGGCTTTGGTTATCCGGCTCTCTTTAATATATTCTGTTTGATGCTTGGTCTTCCAAATAAGTTCTGTATTTTACTAGTAGTTAGTATCATGGTTGAAGGGAGTATGATGATTTTCTACATCATGACATGAATCAGTTTGTGTTAATTCCCATCTGTTCATTTATTGCAGTGCTGCTCTCTTGTTCTCCAAATCTTTTACTCTGTTTAGTGGGCTGTTATTGGCTTGCAGCCTTATTTTTCTCTTCGCATTATTTTCTATCTATACAATGTCTGTTTTAGAGGACGTGCTAATTTTTAGTACGTCTTTTAAAAAGGATTTCTGAACCGTGATTCTAATTGAGAATTTATATGATTTAGTTATGTGAGAAATCTTACTCTTGCAGTCTTGCTTAAGCATTTTTTTTATCACTTGCAACTGCTTAAAGTGTTTGGGAACTTGCATATGTAGCTGAGCAAATTGTATTGGCTTGTATCACCGACACGCTTGGGAGGCATTTCCAGGAACCAAAAAAAATCTTTGATGCTCAACTCCTAATTGTGAAAAGAAGATACAGTGCATGTTAATTCAATAAAGAAAAAATCCAAGTTCTTGAACTATGTCAAGTTAAACATAAATGATTCAAATACTTACCACCCGAGACTGCTAAATTTTGGTTTCTTTTCAGTTAATAAATATTTTTTCCTCTTAATTGCAGATGTTTGATGATAAAGAATCAATTACAAAAAAATTCCCCGTGGCGCATTAAAATTCATTGTTTTACACTGCTTTGGAGGAGCTGAAGGATGTAATTCTCTGAATACCAAGTATAATTTGATATGAGAAAGAGCTAGCTTATGTTATAAGTTATATTTTTGGTCCTTCCGAGTTCCGAAGATGATAGAGATAAACTACAAAAGTTTGGGTAGCGGTGCTCAAGTGATATGAAGCTGAAGCACAGCAGGCTAGGTATGCATTTGGCTTTGACCATTGAGAAAAGATGATGCACATTCTCTGATACTGTTTCTCGGATTTTATCAGCATATCTGATCAGTTTTTAATTCTTTGGTTGCTATTATGCTGATTCTGTAATGCCTGCTACTTGAGAATACCACTTGTTTAAAGACTTTGACTTTCATTCCTCCATTAAACCAAAGCCATATGCTTAAATTCCTTGGGGGGTTGGAAAAAAGTTTCAAGTAAATAACTTTCCGTCTTTCCCAAAGGAAAATGAAATGAAAATCACAAATAAGATTCCAAAGAGAAAGGGGGAATGCTCATATCATCATTTGTTGTTGGTTTCAATCACATATATCATACGTTTAGTTGAAAATTAAGTGTTTAAACTATACCTCTTGTCTTGTTTGTTTTATGCGTTTAAAGTTTTTGTTGGTCCAAAGAATTATTTAACATTTATTTTGTTATTATTTTATTCTATTAATGCCCAAGTTTAAGAGACCAAATAAAGAGCCAATATGTGAACCAATTATTACTCTGCCGGAACACTTGGATATGTCTGAAGAAGAGGAAAAGCCCAAATAGTAAGCGAAGGTAGTCAGGGTAAATTTGACCCATTAGTTCGTCTCGAAAATTAATTTGAGATTTATAACATTTATTACAATGTATTGAAACTCGTCATGTAGTCGTAATGAGTTTTAATAAAATATATTTTTTTATCAAAATTTGTCATCATGACGTTACAAATTTTATTGAATCAATTTTATCCACAGCCACCAATGACAGTCAAATGCTAATCGATAACAATTGTTAAAAAAATAACTGATTGGTACCGTTGTAACAAGCATGCATAGAACAAATTATAATTGAATCAAATGTTATCAATGATCATTCTCTGAATTTCTTTCTCCCTTCTTTCCTCTTTCTGTTAATACCTAATTAGTAAGATGACAAAGCTTCCCCTCAATACATAAACACTTTTGGATTTTTTTAATCTACTCTCACTTCCATCCATAAATTAGAAGAAATTTCATTTTTTTCAAAAGAAGCTAATTTCAAATTTTTGAATATATTCATTCAAATTAAAATAAAAAAAAGAAATTTATATCTTGTTGACAATGTGATATAAGTTTTAAACTAGAGAAAATAAATTTAAGACAAAAATATCTGAAACTCTTTCAAAAATCTAATATAATAAAGTTGATTTGTTAATTTGTTATTTAAGGTTTCAAATTTATTATTTTGAAGAAATTAAAACTTTTATAACATATCAATTTTATAATTTTCAATTTTTAATACATATATATATATATATATTAAAAAAAGTTGGATATATGTATATATTGTTGAAAGGAATCATTTTGCACATTTTTAAAATATGAAAAAAATAATAAATCAAGATTTTCTTTTAATCAAGGTAGAGAGTGGCACTTCCGTAAATATATCCCTCAACTCCAAAGCATTCGGCTCTTTCTGATTCATATTTTTACGTTAAAACACACAAACAGAGGAAAGCTCTCTCTCCCTCTCTCTTACATCACACCAATCAAAAGCACCTATTTCTCCATCGAAACCACGATCTCGATCCAAGGCATCTTCTTTATAACTTTTATCTGCGAAAATGGTTAGTTAATTTCTTGATACATTTGATCCCTCTTTAGATCTGATTCAAACCGCCTTTGTTTGGTTATCAATTCCCAATTTTCTGTTTAATTTTTGGAACCAGAAATGGGAAGATTTTCCAGTTATGTTATTTTGTCCGAGTTGTACTGCCTTCTCTTATTTCAGTACTATGCAGCAAAGCTAGAGTGCTAGGGATTTGAATATATTGAGATCTGCCGAGTGAATGTGTTTTCTTATTCTTATTTGAATCGTTCAATATGAATGCTGCAATTTCAGTTTTGTTTTCTTTCCCACTGTCAAATGATTTTGATTTAAGATTTTTTTTTGGTTTCGACTAATTACGTGCTTTTCCCCCTTACCAGCCACTCAGACTTGAAATTAAGGTACGTGTTATTAATTTAATGTGACTTCTGTTTTGTGGGTGGGTTAGATCTTATTATTTGCAAATGTGTGAGTAATGTTCTTAATTGTGGTGTTTGGATCAGAGGAAACTTGCTCAAAGGTCAGAGAGAGTAAAATCCATAGATCTCCATCCAACAGAACCATGGTAATTTCTAACTTTATTCATTTTCCCATTTATTCGAATTTCATCTTTTTCAAACTTGAAGGCTAAATGTGATCTATTATAATTGTAATTGCAGGATTCTAGCAAGTTTGTATACCGGAACTGTGTGTATCTGGAACTACCAGTCACAGGTATGGGAATTTTATTGATTGCCATTTGCCAAAACTAGAAGCTTTGCTTTGTCCCATGAAGTGAAATGCCCTAAGCTGAAAAAAATAGGTGAATAAGGGATATATTTTATTATTTCGGTTAGTATCTAGATTTCAGTTAAATAACCATCCTGATTGCTTCTTTTTAACACTTCTCGTTATTATGTTTTTGATGTAGTGATGAAAAGATGCAATTTTGAAAATTTCATAATAGAGCTTGATTTTTTGTTACTGTCTGAAACATCTTCCCACCATCTGTCACAGTGCAATTTTGTGGGTGTTGTGGCTTTGTGGTTGTGGGATGCTATGCAAGAAACTATAGTTGGACTGTTGGAGTATTAGATGGTTATTTATCCGTAAAAAACATTCATGGAACTTAATTAGTTTAAGACTTAGCCCAGACTAATTTTTGTCCATTCTGCTTAGCCCAAATCTTTTTTTTAAAAGATATAAGGTGCCAAAGTCTTATTTACCTGATAATAATAATAACTATAATCTTGGTTATCAAAACAACAAATGTGTTATAGAAACTTACGTCTTCCTCTCTTCACTTGAATTGAGAGTTTCTTTTATAGTTCTAGGGTATTACACTTGTGAATCATCATCTTTGTGTTCAATTCCATTTCTTATTCTATCATCAATTCTTTTATGATCATCTGCTCAAACTCATGGAACATGGGGACATGGATCTTTTTAGCTCTATGTATAAGGCTTGTCCTTTATTTGTGGAACTTTTTTGTTGAATCTTTTTAGTTCTATGAAGAATGCAATTTTCATTTGCACATTGATATAATTATTTCATAATACAGGTTTATAAAAATTACTAATTAATTTCATGAAATTTATTTAGTTCAAGATTTTGGATTCTTAACACCATATTAAAATAGCATTAGGTTTGTTTTATAATTTTGCGAATCATTATGTAGAATTTGAATTGTTTAGAGCTTTAGCTATTTTTTAGTGTAACTTTGCTGTCCTTGTTGTACAGACCATGGCTAAGTCATTCGAAGTCACTGAGTTGCCAGGTATGTGTTCATTTGTTATTATTCATCTATCTTTGTCTGCTGATGCTATTTTTCCATTTTCTTTCATCGTGATGATGTTATTACCATTCTCTAAAGTTGACATTTTCCATCTGCAGTTAGGTCGGCCAAGTTTGTTGCACGCAAACAATGGGTTGTTGCTGGGGCTGATGACATGATTATTCGCGTTTACAATTACAACACAATGGATAAGGTCAAAGTATTTGAGGCACATACTGATTACATCAGATGTGTGGCCGTCCATCCTACTCTTCCTTATGTGTTGTCATCGTCTGATGATATGCTCATAAAGCTTTGGGATTGGGAGAAGGGTTGGCTGTGTACTCAAATATTTGAGGGACATTCTCATTATGTCATGCAAGTGACCTTTAATCCCAAGGACACTAATACTTTTGCCAGTGCATCTCTTGACCGTACTATAAAGGTACAAAGGGTACCTTTCTGGTTGTAATTTTTTTTCATTATCGTTCTTGCTTCATTTGGTATAACCTTGCTAAATCAGCCTTGACTCTGTTTAAAATTTCTAGATTTGGAACCTCGGCTCACCCGACCCAAATTTTACTCTGGATGCCCATCAGAAAGGTGTAAATTGTGTTGATTACTTTACAGGCGGCGATAAGCCCTATCTGATCACTGGTTCTGATGACCACACTGCTAAGGCATGCACTATGCTGCTAAAATATGTATTCTGCTTTCTTTTGACCATAAATAAATCTTGAGGAACTATATACTGATAAATTTCATGGATGCAGGTATGGGACTACCAAACAAAGAGTTGTGTTCAGACATTGGAAGGCCACACACACAACGTTTCTGCTGTTTGTTTCCATCCTGACCTTCCAATTATTATCACCGGTTCTGAGGATGGGACAGTTCGTATCTGGCACACTACCACTTATAGGTAGAAACATATCTGCTTTAGCATGCTTAGCCCCTTTTGATTTCCAATGGCCGTTTATTTTGTGGTGAGACTGATATTGTCTAGTCTGTTTCTGCATAACAACTCAATATTCCTCCTTATTTCTCAACTTCATGTCTCAGTATTGGATTGGTTAAAGTGTGAATGCTTTTGGATTGTAAAAATTCTTGAGTAAACCTGTCCAAGGTCCAGGCCCTGGACCAGGAAATTTGTAATTTGGGCTTGAAAATACATTGGATTCAATTATAAAAATATAAAATATTTTTTTTTATTTTATTATATGTAACAGTAATTTGGGATTTTGAGCTGGCCACAAGCATGGGTAGGCAGAATATAAAATTCCCAGACCTCGACCACGTACCAGTCTAATCTTGAGATAGATGTAGAAATTCATGGTCTGGAGCCACTTTGGTGCTTTACCATTAATATTTCATCCTTTAGTGTTTTCTTAAGATGTTTTGATCTTAGTAGTCTTTGATGCATGTGATAGTGTCTCTTACGTGCTTCAACTTATTTACTTTTTATCAAATTTGTTTTCAGGCTAGAAAATACATTGAATTATGGTCTTGAGAGAGTTTGGGCAGTTGGATATATGAAAGGTTCACGGAGGTAATTTCTTTTGGTTAAATCATGCAACGTTTTCATGTTTATTTTCCTCTTTTTTACCCTCAGTTTTTAACTTTTTTCCAGCTTGTTTATTTATACTTAAATGCTAGAATGAATTTTTGGTCATTAAATGCTAGAACAACTCTTGAGAAATTTGAGCAATCA